CCCCTAGTGTGTATAATTACATTCTGTTAATGTGAAGCCTTATGGGAGTTGCCACTCAAGTTAAGGTTGCAGCTCAGATAAAGCTGCAGGAAAGCACACCAGGATAGATACTGTGATAGATGAAAGTAGGAACAAGAATGTAGGAGTGAACCACTGAAACCAGACTATCTACCAAAAGATGAAGACTTTTGCTATAGTTTTCTGCATGACCACACTGATACTGTCCATTTGTTTCTTTACATTGATTTTCTGCTACTGCTGCTTCTTTTGAGGAGTTTTCTTTTGTACAAATTGAAGATCTAAGGATAAAGGTGACATATTTTGTACAAATAATACAAGACAGATTTGTGATTTGACTTTCTGGCTGAAGTTGGACACTACAGTATCAAAGCTGAGGGGTCACAGTGGAAATTCACTTTGGGAATAAATCACACTCTACTGAGCTAGAGGAAATGGGCCGTGAGGAAATTTACAACCTTGGTTTGAGCAATTCACAATGAAATGGAGACACAATGAACAAAAAAAGTAATTGTAAACCACTGTTGCTATGGCAACTTTTTTCCATAACTAGCTCAGTTTTTATGCTTCTTTACAGCTGAACAAAGTAAATTGTTAATGTCTTTTCGGGCTACATCACAAAGGCCAAGAAAGCCTTCATCTACTCAATGACTTTCTCATTATAAGTGATGGATTCTTACATGAACACAACCTTCCTGCCAAAGTTAGAATGGTTTTTATTATTTCTTTTGTTTGTCTTCACCACTGCCCCACGGTGCCGTGCAATCACTCAGTCCCCCGCCCACTCACAGCTCTGACTATCCAACTGTTTCTCCAGTGTCTCTCTTGCTGTCTAACTGACATGTCCCTGGACCCATAGTGTAATAAAGTGATGCTACATGTAATTTATTAACTCAGAGGAGTGGATTTAGAGTTAAAGAGCCCATGACATGCTCATTTACAGTCACTTAATGTTTAACCTTGGGTACCTCTAGATTAGCTTTGCACCCATCATAACTCCATTCTGTAATTATTTCAGAATGATAAAACCCAAAAGCCTCCTCCTGAAAATAAGAGGATAGCACAAATCCTGCTGCTGGTGTTGTCCCAAAATCTGTTTCTCCATTAAGAAGTTAATAAATCCAAATGGTGATCACTGTGTCTTCCCCAACAAATTCCTCGACATTATCCTAATCACAACCACTGAGGGGTGCATTACATGAAAGCTAGTTTTGAACAAGGAAAAACCTCTTAATGGTGAACGTTTTTTGACACGAGCCTGGTCAGAGAAGCCAGGACATAAACAAAAACCACTGATGAATAAGCTACATTTTCAACAATGACAATACCTCAAGTCCTACCTGACATGTTCGAGACAGAATATGATAGTGAACAGTACGACGAACCACAACAGCATCAATTTGAATTTCTCCTCTATAGATAGGTAAACAACATGTACCCATGAAAAGAGATGTGCAACACTCTAAACTAAGTGGGTAGTTGAGAAACCCCATATTTTAACTGGCATAATGCAGACATAGTGAATTACAACAATTCTCTACAGAACAAAGCATTAACTGACATGCAACGTGTTTTTTTTTTTTTACTTATCTTTACATCCGACAGAGTAGTGGAAACTTCTCAAGGTCAATAAATCCAAATGGTGATCGCTGTGTCTTCCCCAACAAATCCCTCGTAAAGTCTTGCCAGCAAGAGTTTGCGAGACTTGTGTAAACTTGACTTGAGTTGCTTCTGCATAGAAATACAACAGCATAGGTTCACATCATTTTATGAGCTTTCAGTCATGTTTAAGATAATAATTCATCATTCTAACATTGTAGATAAGTCAGAAAACACAGAAAAGCATGCCATGGGCACTTTAAGTTAAAGCCTGTTTTAATGTGTTTTAAATGTCTGGCAATGACAAAATAGAACAATGCATTAAAACTATCTGACACCCAGTGGATTTGTCCTCTTTGTCTAAATAAAACACCAGTGTTGTTTAAGGACATTTCTGATCACAAAAAATAAATGAGTGGAAAAGCCAGCATAATCTACATAGCAGTGATTAAGCTGGACTCATACTCTGTGCAGTTTCCTCACAGGATTTCTGGGAGCTGAAGTTCACATTTTTCAGTTGCCCTTTTTATCCACTATTGCAGAGCAGCTTTAATATGCTACTTGATGATTGTTTCAGATTTTACATTGTAGTTGACTCAGTGTTGGGAAGCATAAACTCTGTCAGGATATTTTATTCTGGTTTATTGTAATCCAGTGGCATGAAGTTGTAGCGCTTCATAAGAAATTCAGCATTTTTGTTAATCAATGGACAGAAATGATAAATAACAATGCTGACTTCACACAAACCTGGAAATAAACTACAGAGTTTCAGAACATGAAATATTCAAAAATAAGATGAATTATTTTTGACTCCCTGTCTCTTTAGCAGTCACATAAACACTTCTGCTATCTATGAACCAGCTGGTATCATTAAGTCACCATCATTAAGGGCTGCAGTGATGAAACAGCAGCACACTCAGGTATAATCTCCTTCAAACACCCACTGGCATGTCCATCAGCACACACTAGACAGTCATTACAGACACTACAGCAACCCACTTCAGCTGCCCTCTCTGCCTCACACTCACGCTGCTGTTCCCCTGTCACTGAACAGATATTCTTCTCTGCTGTCTGTCACTCGGGTAGCGACAGGGAGCCTGCTCAAAGAGCCTGAAAAAAGGAGCGTGAGAGCGCTTAACACTTTGTTGCGTTTATCTGCAATAATTACAGAGCCACACGGTGTGCTGGGGGCTAAAAATGTGTTAGTTCTTTTAATCCTCCACCTCTGCCAAACACTCCTTCATAACACTCTCATTGTGGTGCCAGAACAGCACTTGGCTGTATCAGCTGATTGACTGGTGATTGATGTGCACCAGCCGGCGTGTAGAAAGTCCATCAGGATAATTGGCTCATTAACACGAAGTTCCACTGGGATAGACACTTTACAGTGCATTTATGTAGAGCTGGATGGATTATTCGGTAATCTTTAGTCAAATCGGTTAGTCAAAAGAAATCTCCAATTAGCTGACAAAAACATTCATTTGATCATTTGTTATACATACACACACATACAGAATGGTGAACTCTGAGATCCTTTTCCCTTAAACTGACAGTAAGATTAACATTAATATTACACCTGTTCAAATATACATCCATCCATTATCTATACCGTTTAGCCTAACAAGGGTCATGGCGGTGCCAGAGCCAATCCCAGCTGACACTGGGCGAGAGGCAGGGTCCACCCTGGACAGGTCACCAGTCTATCACAAGTCTGACACTTAGAGACAAACAACCACACACACACACACACACACTCCTACAGGCAATTTAGAGTCGCCAATCAACCTAAGCTGCATGTCTTTGGACTGTGGGAGGAAGCCAGAGTACCCAGGGAGAATCCCCCCTGGCCCTGGAACCTTCTTGCTGTGAGGTGACAGCACTAACCACTGTTCCACCATGCCGGCCCCTGCTCAAATATATTTTGTTATATTTACATAACATTAGTGTATATAAATTATCTGTATGTTTTGGATGGTTGGTCAGACAAAAAAAATGAATTGCATCATCTTCAGGGTTGAGAAAAGTTAAGGGGCATTTTTTTTGATAGTTTTATGACATTTTACAGAACAAATGCTTAATCATTAAAAAAAAATTTGAATATAATTATAAAGAAAAATAATAATGAGTTTTAATCCTTTGTTCAAAGTGTTGCCTGTTATTACTGCCACTAAAACTGAGCTTGACTGGCATGAAAGTAGAGAGAAAACTTTCATACTGTAGAAATTCCCAGTCCAGACTGTGAGAAGACATATAATATTTCAGGTTAAAAACAGGCCTTTTTGGAAGCCCTTGCTGCTCTCAGATGTTTCTTTTATTTAATGCAGGGCACTGGATCATCACACCCTGTGCCTTCTGCTTTCTTCAACCAGAGCAAATCACCTCGCAGGCCTAATAATCATGTCACATAATGCTGTGTCGTCTGTGGGATGGTGGGAGCTGATTGCTCTTGATCATAATGAGCTCCTGGAATATAGATTTTTCTAGACAAATTAATTTCCAGGGAAATATCTGCTGCCCAGCATTGTTTTGTGTCTGCAATCAGACCCAGAGGCCTGACAGCTAATCAGCCCACTGTTAATGAGGCTGTGGCTCCCTTTTAAATGATAGCTCTGGAACAATTTTAAGAGTCTTCCCTCAAAGAGGAGCTGACAGCCAACTGGGAACCAGCTGTTAGAAATATGATCCTTGGATGGTGTAAGGTATTAGTTATATGGTAAATGCAGACAAATTCCTGTGAAAGCTTCACACTGAAGACAGGCAAATGTAGGAATAAGCAACAGTGAGTCATCAGTTACACTGTGAATAATCATGTATACGCAGCCACTTCGAATAGGCGGATGTCACCAAAAAAAGTCCTAATTTGTGGGTGCCTCAGTCAGCGTTCATCGTCATCATGACCTTTTCACCCCGACCACCTACTGACACGCCCATCCGCCCACATCCATGTATAATAATACCCATTCAGACACACACATGCACAGAAGCAAACACAAAGTCGCATGTCAAACATGAGGCAGTTCCTCCAACTGCAGATACTGTAATTGACCTTTATGGTTTTTGCGGCTGCTGGCATTTTGTCTCTGTCTTTTTGAATGTAGCTGCACTTAGCCACCATGCTTGGCCTTTTAGAGACAGATGTGCACTCTAACCTGATGATCCATGTCCTGATTCCCAGAGGCTAAGTGTGCTTGCATGCACGTGTGTGTGTGTGTGTGTGTGTGTGCAGAGAGGGGTTTGCAGATTCAACAGCTGGCTTCTTCCGATAGGCTGTCAGCAAGCAAGTCTGCTTAATGATATCACCACTGCTTGTTGATGTGTGAAGCACAGAGAGGCAGACAAAGAGGGAATGGACAAGAAAAACAAACATATTTATTAGTGTCAACTGAAAAACCCAGTCAGTGACCAAGGACAGAGCTCATAGCTTTCAGCTCCAGCCCATATCACTGAACGAGATTGAATCCAATGTTTCATCTGTAATAGGAAGAACATGTCATTATTTATTTCAAAAATTACAAAGTGTGACTTAAAAACTATTTGGCCACAGAATAAAGGGTGTGGATTTTGTCCAGTGAAGAGATTCTTGCATGCAAATATGGTGAGGACCAACTAGTGTACTGTAAGATATTCTATATGAGCATGTGAGTACTGTGTTGTATTATGACAGGCTTTAGAGAATGTGAACCAACCCTTAAAAAACTAAATAACTTAACCTTTATTAAGTGTTTAGAGATGATGTCTCTTTGTTGAATAGGGAACAGCAATCAAACACCTGCATCTTTATTGACACTACTGCAGATCCTCCTGTTGGACATGTTTCTCTCACTCCATTCTTCTCCCCTAATTCAAACTGAACGTGGAGCGTGAGCACAACTACAAGTCTGTCCAGTGGGAGCTCACCCCATGTGCTACAAGTGCACATAGAGTACACGTCTGCACACACACACACGTGTGCCTGCTTTCTTACAGCCTCGCCACGCTTACACATTTTGTAAACATGCAGGGAAACGCTCCACCAGCTGAATACAAACATACACCAGCCTCTGCTGGATGAGGTCTATACTGTCAGAAAACCCCTCAGAAGCATTTATGTTTTCTGAGGATGGAGTCATTCAGCTGCCTTCCTGACTACGAAAAGGAATGCATTTACTTAAACTCTCCCCTCTGGGAAGAGCAATATTCACTGTATTCACTGCAATGATGATAGCCACTCTAGTTTTTATCATCTATTCTCTTAGTCAATTAAGGGAGCAGAGTAATCAGAGTGGGGGAAATGACAATCAGATTCTGCTTTGGCAGCCTCCATGGCTTTACTTAATGACGCAAACTGTGATAACACAACATGACAAAGGAACTATTACTTCTGTGCTTTCTGTGCATCACATTACAACTGTACTTATTCTCCACCATTGATTCATAAACTGACACTGATAGCCAAAGCCTAAGCAAACACACACTTGGAAGACAAAGGATTAGGCATGTAATTAAATTTTTGGAGAATCTGATATCTCAGACAAAAGACCTCAATCTAATCTTAAGCATGAAGGACCAAAGAACATTTGCACATATTCCACTGAGACTCATTAAGCACTAAGCTTCTTGTTAATCCCCTGCAAAGGTCAGATTCAGCAAACCAGTGAGTTTGCACTTTTCTGTTGGAGCGCAAATGAAGGGTTGACGTTGCTGAAAGGAACTTATAGGTTTGCCCTCCTGGTCCTGCAGTGTTCACACCTTCACATGGTCACAGGTAAAACAGAGACTCATTTTAGGAACTCTCTCTTGATGTCAGAAAGCAAATTCAGACCTTTTCCCTGTTTCACAGTCTCTACTTTGTGTTTAAGCATGTGCATGAGCGTGTGTGTGTCAACACAGTGTAACATAATCAATACCATGATGGCACCAGGTAAGGGCTTTTATTCTTTAAAAAGCCAGCACTTCCCCCACACTTTGCCATCATCATCATATCATACAAAATGTCACAATATTGTATCTATAACAACAAAAATAAAGACAAATATTCAAGACAGGTCATTCTGTACAACATACTGCCATAAACTACAACACATATGGACTTCATTAGATTTCTTTTATAAAAATAATATTTACAATAAAAACATGGCTTCACTGTGGTGTTCGGTTCTGTTTAGACCTCTGTGTGAAGCTGAGGATGGTGGGTGATTTGTAAAAGAGAAGCTGCATGTAAAGCTCATTCTGGGAAAGCCATTCCAAGCACTTAACACCTACAGCGTTCACAAGTCAGTGACCCATGCACAATGGTCAATGGATTTTACAATTTATGTACAATAAAGTAAAAGAAAAAGGATGCTGATAACAGTGGAGTCTGTCATACATATCTTCTAGTGTCCCTCCTGCACAGTATCTTTTTGAACGACCTCCTGAAGTCGTTGTTGAATATGGTGTAAATGATGGGGTTCAGTGCACTGTTGCAATAACCAAACCAGAAGAAGAACTTGAACAAGGTGTCGGGCACCTTGCAAGGCTCACACAGCGTCATTAGCATATATGTAAAGAAAAAGGGAAACCAGCAGATGACAAACACTCCAATGACCACAGCCAGGACAAAGGTGAAGCGTTTCTCCCGGTTCTGACGGCCCTTCCAGCGACTGCTTTTGGTGCTCGGCACCCGCTTTTGGATGTCATCGTCCCCTGGTTTGATTTGGCTCAGTTTGGTTTTCCCCTTGGCCACTTTCTTTTTAAGTGAGCAAGGATTGTTCACTTTGTGGTCAGAGGACGACGACTCTTCAATGTCCACCCAGTTGACCTCTCCTTTCTCCTCACCTGCTCCTTCAACTCCCTCCTTCAGCTCAATGTCCTGTTCGCCATTCAGCTTTTCATGGCAGAGGCGCTCCTCATTGACCACGCCGTTCTCCTTTGGGTTGGCAGCAGTGCCAGTGGCCGTCTTCAGCATCTCCTTCTGCTTCCTGTCCCCTGGAGGTGCCCGAGTCCTCTTTTTAGCAATCTGGTAGATACGCACGTAGACCAGGACCATGATGACACAGGGGAGAAAGAAAGAGCCAATACAGGAAGAGATGACATACCACTTATCATTATTGATCTTACATACAGGGTCCTTCTCACGGTTTTCTTTCTCCATGGTGATTAGTGGCGGGAAAGATATAATAGCCGAGATGACCCACACGATGAAGATGATGCACTTAATGCGTCGTGGTGTCCTCTTCAGGTTGTACTCGATGGCCTGTGTGATGGACCAGTAACGGTCTAAGCTGATGGCACAGAGGTGGGCAATGGAGGCAGTGCAAAAAAGAACATCAAGTGCCAGATAAATCTCACACCACACCTCGCCAAAGTACCAGTATCCCATGAGCTCATTGGCCAAGGAGAATGGCATCACCAGGGTGGCCACCAAAATGTCTGCTGACGCCAGAGACACCAGGAATAGGTTCTGGGGAGCTCTGAGGGCCCGACTTGTAAATACAGCTATGACCACCAGCACGTTCCCAAACACTGTCAGCAGGATCATGAGCCCCACCAGCACAGTGAGTGGCAGGGCCATCTGGAGGCTGTAAGGGGCCACCTCTGGAAGAGTCCGGTTGGTGTCGTTGTTAAACTCCATTGGTGTAGACTAACTCGCTTCCTAAGTGAGTTCACCTGAGAAGATCAACAATCATCCACCAGGAAGAACAGAGCTAATAGCTGTCAGCCAAGCGGAGAAAGGAAGGGACTGAATCGCTCCTCTGTGGCTTTCCCGGATTTTCCTCTTTCATCATGCACTGCCTCCTCAAGGATAAGCTCTTATTTAAAAGGCTGTCAGTTCATCTGAAAACATGAGGCAACAAGAGGAAAAATCAGCTCCTTCAGTACTATTTAGTGCTTTCCATTCGACTGTGACAAATCTTTTATATTTTTTACTAATGTATGATTCAGGAGAGGAAGGGTGTAAACATTGTAAACACATATTTTGTAACTTAACCTAAACACACGAGTTAACACTACACATTTCCTCTTCTGAGCTTTACACTTGTATAATAATCCGATGCCTTGTCTCAGCTCTTACACTGAGAAAAAAGGTATAGTAAGTGAAGTAATCTTACCTGAGGCAACAGGCGGTGGCACAGCCTCTCCAGTGCCAGAGACGCACAGGCATTAAAACAGCTGTCGGTGGGTAACTTCTTTAGACAGATAAATAGGGCAGAAGGAAAGTCCATGTGGCGGATGGAGCGGGAAGCCGTTCCTCTGCGTCTCCACACACTGTGATCCCTGTGGTGTGCTCACTAACGGACCTGATAGAGCGCTAACCACGTTATCCCGGGCGCTGCCGTGCCTCTGTCTTCGTGTGGAGACTCTTTCCTCAGTGTTAACCACAGCGCCACTCCCTCTCTTTATAGCGCGCACACTGCAAAAAAAAACATGTCCCTCTCCCCGGGCCACTGCGTGTCCACGGCGTGCCAGCA